CTGCCTTATCTTGAAATCTAATATTCAAAATATTCAAAATGTCATTTTGCTTATTCATGAAAACAATTTGGAAAATCATTTTCAAATGTTGACACTGAAGAAGTCATTGACGCATACATTATAGCATGCATAAATGAGATTGAATATTATGTCTAGTGAGAAAAGAGTCTGTATGTAGTGAATTTTTTAATGCAAAAGAAAGTTTTCTTTTATTTTGAAATAAAAGAAAATCATTACATAGCGTTGCATCTAACTAAAACTCGATTTTGCCTAAGTTCAATTTTGTCTGTGACATCAGTATAATAACTTTGTCTGCTTAATCCAAATTGATTCAAATCTTTCGTATGTTTATGTGATTAAAATTAAATTATACGAAAATAAAAGTCCTTTCTCAGAACAGAAAAGTTCACTGAAAAAAAAGAAATTTTCTTTTCTTCATCATATACACATATATATATGCAATAGATTTGTTCATTCAATCTAAATTTATTCAAACTTCTCTTTCACCTATTTCAATAGATCAGCTCGTGTGAAAATAAAACTCCTTCACAGCATAGAAATGTACTGAAAGGCAGAAATATCCGCTTCTGGAATATTCATATTTTGATTTTTCTATAGCTACTGATATACATGACATTTTGTAAGGTATGTAAAGTTCTATATATTCTTAGCAGACTTTAGGTAAAGTGGACATTTTGAACCTTTGGTGTTGCTCAATTTTCGATAAATATAACAGTATACACGAAAGTTTATGACTGAATGTCAACCTAATTTATCATACACATTGGTAATGAAGCGAAACAGCGGCCATAAGTACAGCTTTACTTCTTTACTATCGCAGTTGTGCGTTTAGAAATGACACCCACACCGATATTCTCACGCTGATTTTTTTATATCTACATTCCTATACTCTTGCCCTTTTACGCAGACTGTTACATTGCTATTCTTATGATTGTTTTCTCATATCCATACATTGATACCGAGAGCCTGAACCCTGAGTCGTTTAAACACATCTTGATATCTAAACCTTGATAACCACGATGCTGCTTCCATGTGCTTTCACCTGTACATTTCGATTATATTGTAAGCCGTACACCTTTACTGTTATAGCCTTCTAACTGAGGTTTGAGATCTATCGGCTTAGACCTGTTCTACGTAGTACGTTTAAAAGCTTTAGAAAGATTCTTGGATTTAGTCTTGAGTGGCATATTTCGGACAAAAGAAGTCATGAACAGGGTTAAATCAATTATTAAATTGTATCCTGTTGAATTAGGGTAGGTCGTTGGCTTTAACGGATACTTATGATAAAAGACAGTAGAAAACAGCGATAGTTTTAGAACGCATTGACGGTAGGCGTATTCGATGCCTTTCAATATTATCCAATCGTTGTTTTTCAGTCGCCATATTTTTTTCTCTACTTGTTTACAGCAATTTTTCACGGCCAGTGTGAACAATAGTTGTAATTCGCTGCAACGCATTCTTTACAGTTGATGTAAATGGTCAATCTAAACGGCTTTCCATTTTTGTCATAATCGATTGGTAAGCAATTGTGTACGTTCGTGGGCGCTCGACTTGGTTTTCATATAGATGTTCACGACACTATTTCACTGGAAAAAATGAAATAAAGAGCTGCTATAAAATCATTTTATTCTTTTAATTGAAACTTGATAAGTAATGAAAACAAGAAAATTACGAGTCTTTTACCTCATACTTAAATTATCATCAGGCAAATAATCTGTTGTTTATTATATATTTCTATAACTTTCTTTCCCATTGCTTTTGTCGCCTAATCTAATATCAACGCTTATGTTAAAATAGACGGCAAAGACAACGGGAAAGAAATTTCTAGAAATATACAATAAACAATAGATCATTTGCCTGATGATAATTTAAGTATAAGGTTAAAGACGAGTAATTTTCTTGTTTTCATTACTTGTCAAGTTTCAATTAAGGGTACCCCCCACCTTTCCGTGGTTTCTGGGGAACGGCTCATCAGAAAATTTTGAAACTTTCAGGGCAGATAGATCTTGATGAGTAGAGCAAAAGTTGTCATAGACTCAAAGTTCCCAGATGCTGTCTTCTATGAGATATTAGGATCACAATGGGTCAAAATGATCCTACTTTTCGTCCCCCTTTCTCCAGGATACTACGTTCGATTGAACTAAAAATTTTTTTACACACACTAGATACTATTTGGGGTGCGTATTTTTTTTGGTTTCTTTATATCTTTTGTCTTTCGAATAAAAAAGTCAAAATACCAAAGACACCCTTAAAAAAGCTTGTTTTTTACTATCACAAATTTTGTAAAAGCTGCCAAAAATTACAAGAGCAATATTTTTTGAAATAAAAAAAAATACACACCCCAAATAGTATCTAGTATATGTTGAAAAAGTTTCAGCTCGATACCTCTTACCATCCCGGAGAAATGGGGGCGAAACAGTACTTTTTTCGCAGAAAATTTGATTTTGAGAAAAACGTAAAACAAAATTGAATTTCGACTTTCTCTTAAATACTCATTGTTTTTTTCTCTCTGTTGAAGTTTTTATAGGTTTTTGACCATTGCGCATTCGATGACGTTGGTTTCACGTTCAGAAATTACTTTTTTTTTATATCTGCGAGATGCCTATAGTCAGTGAAAACAGCATATCGATTGAAAGTCATGTCCTGTTTTCGCACCTATTTCACTTCTATCTTGAACAGAGAGAGAAGAAGAAGTGAAAGAGGGTGGAAAGCTGTCGGCAGATGCTTAAATAACTGACGAACAAATGGAAGACACGTAGTCGCATGTCGTTGAATTCTTAATTTTCATCTACTATTCCATTTTTCGGAAGTTTTTTAGATTTATCTCGTTTGGAAGCCAAACGTAGTATTTTATTTCTTTGTGAACCACTCGAAACACTTCATTTTCTTTGTTGATCTTACATTTTATTCAATACCTGAAAAGAAGACAACACTCGTGATATATATAACTAGCAACTCATTCAAAAGCGACATTGAACAATTATTTCTTTTATTCATGATCTCTATCAACAACAGCTCTCTTCTTTCATGGTACGTATAATATTTCTTCTTTTTTTATGTTCTTTCTAATCGAAGGCATCTGATGCGTATGGATACTTTTCTTCAGCGTTTAATTAAAAATAGCCCCGACTATAAAAAAAACTGCATACTATCCAGAACAAGTCTGAAGTTCAAAATTTTCGAATTAGTCATATGGATCATATCTCGAACAAACTCGATCAATTAACCCGAATGATGTCTCACGCATCCCAACATGTGACTCTAATCTGATCCCAGGCTAAAAATAAGATAACCACAAGCAGATTAAACGCAAAGACGAAATTTTTTGAAAAAAAAGTAAAAAATCGACTTTTTGAGATAGGGGGTATCAAAAATCGTTTTTTTCGAGGTCAAAACGTCGTCAAAAGAATTTTTTTTTCGGAGATCAATAGAGGACACTTCACAGTATATTTATCAATAAAAAACAAAAAATCGAAAAAATTTTGATTTTCACGTTAGGAAAGGTGGGGGGTACCCTTAAAAGAATAAAATGATTTTTATAGCAGTTCTTTATTACGTTTTTTTCAGCGTTAAATATTACTGTTCGAAAGAATAGTTTCTTAACACTATTCAGTTGATCTACTAGTTGTTTCTGTCTCATAAGCACACCGACTTATGAGAGAAGAGGAAGTGATGAACAAAGAGATAGATATCATTTCTAGAACAGTTAGTAGAGAGAAGGACAAAAGAGGAAGTCAAAGACCAAAAATGAAAGAAAAGAAAAAGTCACCACATCACAAGAGTTACATGATTATCCAGACAGTTAGAACATATTATGAGTAGATGGATAGTCTATGTTTTTATTCATTGTATATTCTGACTACAGATAGTGTCCTCTGGCATGAATTATTGTGCTGGTTAGACTGCTGCATGCAGATATTTAAGTTTATTACTTGAAAAGTAACATTCAGTATTTCTTTACAGCCAATATCTTTTTCTAGATAAGGCATCGTACAGAAGCAACAATTGTACTGGTTCACTACTAGATTTGCATTCATCGTAAGAAAATAAACTGGAACCCACAGACCATGCTCCTTATTCTGAGAGAATAGAATCATACTCTTATGCTGGAAGGTAAGAGGTGACATGTTTTCTTTTGAATAAATTTAAATTATTTGTAGACTTGTGATAGTTCACGACTGAATAAGTAAGGTGGTGCCACTGAATATGTCATATTGTCTTACCCACTAGATCCGTAATTGCTCCATTTCGAGTTGTACAACTGAACTGAACAAATGTGCTGGAGTGGAACTTTCACAGACTTAGTGCTAGGATAAAAGGAGATGCTTAATAAACTAACCTATATGAAAAGAACTACTATCGGCGGCAAAATACGATGAACGCGAGTATTTTTTGTATATCTCGAGTACGGAAGCAGCTATCAACCTGCGGTTTTCAGCATTCGAAAGAGCAATGTGGGAGAAGTAAAACTATGTCAAATTCGTTTGGTTAATAATCAACCAATCCGAAGAGCACTCGTCGAACATTTTGCAAACTGTCTAGGGAAACTATTTCTCATCGGATTTTAGATTTCAAGGTGACTATTCGATATGCAAAATTGTTGTGTTTCGATCTACGCATGACTGAGCTCTCTAGCTTGTATCATTCAAGAGCTATAAGCATTTTTCTGAGACCCCCGAAATCAGCCAGGTAACCTTCAATCACTCTAAAATAAATCCCAATAGGGGTAATCGACCACGCTGCGTCGAGTGGTGCAATT